CTCATTTGGGTGGTGGCTGCGGGCCCACTTCCCGTGTGCGTGTGCGTGTGGGGGGCGGCTGCTCTTCGCTGCTCCGTCGTGGGTGTCTGCCGGCGCTGCTGTGAGTCTTTCTTGCGTGGCTGCGTGGAGTTGCTCGGCTCCCGTTTTTTTTCTTTTTTGCGACCTGCTCTCTTCACGGTCCCCGCTGCACTCCCTCTCCTTTTCCCTCTACTTCTCTTGTTTTCTGCGTCCTTTTCTCCGCTGACTTCAGCGACTCTGTCACTCTACGGCCACCACTACTACTTTTGCCGATGGTGACGACGCTGGCGGTGCGGCGCCGTGCGGTGTGCGGCCTGGCGCTCCTCGCGCTGCTCTGCGGCTGCTGCGCCCCCTCGTTTGTGTGCGCAGCGGCGGCGGCGGCTGGAGCTGCTGAAGCGCCTGGGAACCCTCCTCCTGATGTTGGGGGAAAAATATTTTTGCCGGTGGACGTGGCGTGTGAGTTGTCCGAGGGGAGGTTGCGTTGGCGGCTCGCTGGAGAAGAGGACTGGGAAAACTGCACGATCGATGCAAGCGAACCGAAAGATGAAGTTGCACGGCTGTGCGACAGCGCTGCATGGCTGTACGGTTGTTGGAACTGCACCGAGGCGTGTGCCGCTGCCGGCAGTGACGCTGTCGCGTTCACGATGAAAGTTGCGGCGTACGGGAAAAGCCAACTTTACAATAAGTCGCTGGCGGCAATTAGTGCCGCTGACTTCTCCTTTTCCGACGCGACAGGCGTTTGCGCGTTGGCGGGTGTGAATAAAACGGGCGATGGATGCAACGATGAAAAACTCGTTGCGGCCAAACCACCGGCACCTGCGGCGGCCAGACTAACGGGAGGAACGGAGGCACAGCAGCAAGGAGCGGCAGTTGAAGCCAAAAGTGAGCCGCAGCTGCAGGAGGAAGGCCGACGCGACACAGAAAACATTGCAGCAGGTGCTGAGCGCGGCAACGCCGCAGTCACCACAGCGCAGGAGCCTGCAGGCCCTGCGCCTCCGTCCACGGCCAAGCCGTCTGCCGAGTCTGCGTCCCCGCTGGGTGGTGCCGGTGGGCAGCCAGCGCACACCGTTAAGGGCGCAAAGCAGGTGGATGAAAGTGTGCGCGCCACCGAAGTGCCGCCCAAGCCGAATGCACAGCCACAGGCGGGAGGTGGCTTGGCTCAAGGCGGCGTTGACGGTGCCACGGGGCAACCGAATGCGGAAAAAAGCAGTGAAGAAGCGGGAGGCGTTGCAGAACGTCAAGCGACGACCGAGCACGGCAGCGAGTCGACAGCCCTCTTGCAGCCCTCTGCCGGCGCCGAGACCATCGCCGGGCCCCAGCCGCCCGAGAGCACAGGGCAAACGCAAGGGGCAGCGGCGGCGCAGAGCAGTGGCCACCCCGACATCGGCTCTGCGGTCACCAGCGGTCCTGCCGCTTCCGCTGGAAGTCGGGCGGGGGCAACTCCACATGTTCCCTACGCAGGTGGTGTTGGGGTAGCCGGCGATCAGACCGGAGAGCCGAATGAGGCGAATGCCGAAGTCACCGCAGAGCCCGATGCCGCTCGAGCAGCTGCAAAGAGCGAGGCTAAAACACCAGCAGCTAGGCCCCCCGCCACCAGCACAGATGACACCGCGACGACGACTGGCGGTGACAGCGGCAGCCCAGCGGCGCAGCCACAGCCGGCGAGTTCCGTGGCGGCAACCGTGGATGGTGATGCGCAACAAAAGGAGAAACTCGCAGTGCCCACCCCCAAACAGGAAACGGAAACGAGTGGTGAGAGAGGAGAAGCCGCTCAGCCGGCAGCTGGGGCGGCTGCTCAAGCGGCAGCCACCACCAATTCGACGAGTGCAGCGAAGGCGGCGCCCGGCGACAGCGACGACAGCAGCACCGCGACCTCGCACTCCGCTTCCCTCTTTGCGGTGCTTCTTCTGCTTGCGTATGCGGCTGCCGCTGCGGTGGTGGCCGCGTGAGTGGCAGTGTGAGATGTCTGTACACACATCTCTTCCTTCTTCCTCTATTTGCGTGTCCCCCTGCACGGACTCTCTCGCCCTCGCATCACCTCACGAGGCACACACACACACACAGTGTGTGCTCGTATATATACACATCTCCACTCATGCAGCTCCGTCGGTTTTCTTTTGTCACCCGACGAGCCGCTGCCGTCCTGCTTGGCTGCATGGGTACAGCACCGTAACTGTTTTTATCCCTTTTTATTTGTTTGTTTTGTTTTTTTCGTTGCTTTCAGTGGGCGGACTCTCTCTCTCTCTCTCTTCCTGGATTGGGCTGTGCGGGAACAGAGAGAGAGATGG